ACTGCTGCCACCCTCGACCCCGCCACCACCGCCGCCGGCTCCGCTGCCCCCACAATCGCCACCTCCACCCCCTCCCTGAGGGTTGGTGCGGCCGCCACGTGGGCGCCCGCCACGACGCGGCTGTGTGACTGCAAGCTGGGGGTTTTGGGACTCGGTGGAGTTCAGGCCGGAGGGGGGGTTGAGAGAAGGCGGGCCTCAGCGTCAATGATCCATTGGACCACAGTGTCAAGGGAGGCGCGGGGCTGAGCCTCAGTGAAGGCGATGACGCGCACTTCATATTGAGGGGAGAGGCCTTCGAGGAGACGGTAGATCTGAAGGTTGGGGGGAGAGTAGTCTGGCGAGCCTCAAGGCGGGAGGCAAGGTCCAGGAGACGGCTGGTGTAGTCAACGGCGCCAGCACTATGTTCGATCGTGATGCTGAAGTATTCCTTGAAGAGCGGTCCGACAGCATCGAAGTCGGTGCGTTCGAACATTGCCTCAAGCTCGAGCCAGATCTGGCGGGAGCCGATGCGACGTGCCTGGAAGTTGCGCATGAGCGCAGACGGTATGGCAAGGAGAAGGGCACCAGTAGCACGGCTGTCCGCCTCGAGCCAGGCGCGACGACGCTCAGCAAATCGCGCAGAGTCAGCGGCATAAGCGGCGGCGGTAGCGGCATGCTGGGTGCGGAGGGTTGCCGACCGCTCGTGTTCCTCCAACGCGATCAGGTAAATCAGTATGGAGCACGAGGAACTCACGACGCTGAGTAAGGAAGAGCTGCTCAACTTCAGCGGTGGCAGCGCGAGTGCTGGTGCCAACGGGTACTATGGGGGGCGGAGGTTCTCGCCGGGATGGGGAATGAGAGGGGGGGGATCGCCAGGGTGAGGCGGCGGGTCCCCAAGGTCACCCTCTGGGAGACCAAGCATGATGTCCAGGAGGCGGAACGGCAGGACATAAGCACTGCCGAGGACGCGGTGGAGGCTGCCGACGAAGGAATACCTGTTGGTTGCTGAGTTGTCGGCAGCGCGCACGAGATGATCGAGGGTCGAGGACGTCGACGGGAGGGGAAAGGATGCCATTGGTGACACGGAGTGGGGAGGAAGGCGACGGCGGGTGGACCCGCGGTGGCCGGGAGGGAGCGGCGGCGGGTGGACCCGCGGCGGCTCAAAGAGGAGGGGAGGATGGGGATGGCTGTAGATACTGCTGCTGCTGCTGCACCTGCTGCTGCTGCTATTGCTGCTGCTCTGCTGCTGTTGCTGCTGCTGCTGCTGCTGCTCCTTCTGCTGCTGCTGCTGCTGCTGTTGCTGTTGCTGCTGCTGCCGCTGCTGCTGCTGCCACTGCTGCTGCTGCCGCTGTTGCTGCTGCTGCTGCTGCTGCTCCTTCAGCTGCTGCTGCTGCTGCTGTTGCTACTGCTGCTGCTGCTGCTGCTGTTGCTACTGCTGCTGCTGCTGCTGCTGCTGAGTCTGCTGCTCCTTCTGGTGCTGCTGCTGCTTCTGCTGCTGCTGCTACGGCTGCAGCAGTGGTAAGGCGGCGATGAGCAGGTGCAGGTGAGGATGCAAAAGATGGGGAAAGATGGCAGTTAGCTGATGAAAATAGGACTTGGTAGAAATTCAGTAGGCACTTCGTGATCACATCCAGGAAAGTGTGCAAACTTCGGAAAGCGATATCTGACAATCCAAGCAATGAAACAGTCCGAAATTTTACGACGTTGTAGCTGACACCAAGAGCGTTTTTTTGCAAAGTCGAATCACTCAATTCTGTCAACTATCGAGCGAGCTATGGGCGTTTGGCGCATTGGGGGTTTTTGAAAATCCACCCAACAGAAAACTAGTTGAGAGGCGGGCGGCTAGGAGTCTAGCAGCGGCGATGGAGGGGACGGCAATGAGGTGCACGTCGGAAGGGGACGGGGCGGAAGCGTGGGGAAGGATCGGGATTTAAAAGTTGGCGTCAGCCATTATTGCTCTATACCGATGTAGAAACAGAAAGGTTCAGTTTATTGATGAAGCAAAGGCATTACATAGGAAGAGAGGGATGAGCTAGGAAGGGAAGGTTGGAAGGGAAAGGGGGTTAGGACCAATCACAAGGGAGGGAGGATCCTTCCAAATATGGTTGACCACCAGTTGGAGGTGGTCCAAATGTGGTGTACCACCAGTGGTTTAGCCAACCCACTTGTGGTGCCCCCACAATTGTGGTCCTTGTGTTTGGGGGGCTCCAACCACAATTGGGTTGGATTGACACCCCAACACAGGTGTACACCCAACTAGGGATGTAACCACAATATACACAACTAGCATAGCATGGTATATTCTAACAACCTCCTCCTGCTCCCGCCTTCCCCACGCGTCGAGCCCGCTCACCAGTCTCCTATCGGAGGCGCCCAGTCCCTCCGGTCCCACCGCAGCCGCTTCGTCTCCGGTCTCTACTCGCACTCGTTCCAAGGGACCGGCTCCGCCTCTCGCCTGGGACCAACCGCCTTCTCCATCCGGTGTTCGGTCACCCCGCTCCTCCTGCCGGGGGTGATGTCCCCTCCATCCGTAATTCCCCCCGTGCACTTCTGGAGGACAGGCATGAGGAGCTGTTTGGCCTTCACGCGGTCTGCCAATTTCTCTCTCACATCTTCCCGGACATTAGTGACTGCCCTTCCCTCAACTTCACCGAGAACCCGACCATTCCGACTCCTCGCACAAAAGAGGAAGCTCTCTCGGGGCCTTATAAGAAGGAGTGGAAGGCAGCAATGAATGTGGAGAACGAGGCGTTCATTCGCAACAGCAGCTTTGACGATGTTGTTCCCCCTTCCGGTGTCAACATCGTCAGCGAAAAATGGATCTTCCGAGTCAAACAACTCCCAGGCGAAGCTCCACTGTTCAAGGCACGATACGTGGCGAAGGGTTTCACCCAGAAGGAGTATCTCGACTTCTTCGAAACATTCTCGCACACGGCCAAGCTCCCGACTGTGCGCGCTCTTGTTGATATAGCCGCTCGCGGCAACTTCGAGATCAAGTCCATGGACGCCTCCTCCGCCTTTCTCCAAGGCCAGCTCAAGGAGGATGTTCACATGGAACGCCCACCGGGGTTTCCTGGCACTTACCCTGCCAACACAGTGTGGAAGCTGAAGTGCCCAGTGTATGGCCTCAAGCAGATGTTGGTTAGAGAAGGCTATAAGCAGATGATTCAATGGCTCCTTGGAAATTTCTGCAGCACTTCGTTATGACGCCCAGAAAACTTGCGACCTTCGAAAAGCTATATCCAAAACTCCAATCGACGAAACAATCTGAAAATCGCACATGTTGTAGCTTGCAGCGTCAACTTTTCAATGAAAGTTGAATCACTCGATTCCGTAGCTTAACGAGTGACCTATGGCGTTTGGCGCACTGGGGGTAATCTGCCCTAGGAGAAATTGACAGTCCTCAGAGTCACTATAATTGAAGCTTACAAGTTCAGAGGCATGATGGAAAAGACATTGAAGCATAGTTGAAAGATGGGGTAGGAAGGGAATGATGAAAGGGAAGGACCCTGGAGGCCCTTGGTCAAGAACATGACAAGAGTCAAAGTCTTGACTCCCCATCCTCAGGTTCAACCAGCCTGGCAAGACAAAATTCACACTGTGCCAGGTTGGCCTCCAAACCCCAAATGCTGCAGCTGGAAGGTGAGGAAAAAAGTCCCACACATGCTGGTCCCTCCTCGTTATAGGGCTCTCCAACTTTGGTGTAGCAGCTGCCAAGGACTTCCACTGAATTGTAACAAATCCATCAAACATTTCTTCGTAACTTCTTCATATGTGCTCCGATTCCAACAATTCTTGGCTCGTTGAAATGTGCCTCGATGTCATGCACAATCCAAGCACATCTGCACAAGCACAAGATGAACATGCAAAGACATGCAAACCCAACAAACCATACAAACGACGTAGCACACAAAACACATGCAACGAAATGATGCGAACAGACGACAGGATGACGTGCAAACGAATATGCACCAACACACTCCCCCTCAGACTGGTCGCTTGTTTCGCCGTCTCTAGTTCAAGGACATTCCCGCCATCCTCGCACAGCGCCAGTGTGGCTCTTCAGCTAGCCGCTTGGTAAGGAAGTCGGCTGGCTGTTGCTGAGTTTTCACGTAGATCGGATTCAGTGTCCAAGCTTCACCTCCTTCCGCAGCCATGCCACTTGATCCTCATGTGCTTGTTCAAAACCCATTGAAGAACTGCATTGCGTGCCATGGCAATTGGCTCCCTTGCTGTCACTGAACAGAGGTGTCGCACAAGTCTGTTCATGGCCGATCTCCTTCAAGAGCCTCCTTAGCCAAATGATTTCATTTGCCGCATGAAACATCGCCATGTACTCAGATTCCACTGACGATAGTGGCCGTCTCAGACTGCTTCTTGGACCTCCAACTTACAGGCCCACCTCCCACCATGCAGATGTATCCACCAACTGATGATGAATCCTCATGCTCAGAAGCCCATGTGGCAATCAGCAAAAACAGGAAAGGAACACCTCTCCTTCTCCGAGCTGCTCCCCTTCTCTTTGAGGACTTCAACTCCTTTTTGACTGAGTTGAGCAGATGCTGAATACTGTACTCCCACTGTAGGGTATGACTTGAGGTAGCGCACCACTCTCTTCGCTGCACCACACTGCTCTTCTGTTGGATTTTTGCACTACTCGAGCCAGCTGTCCCACAGCAAAGCTGATGTCAGGCCGAGTATGCACAGCAGCGTAGAGTAGGCTCCCGACCATGGATTGGAATTGCCTCTGGTCTTCACTCTCAACTCCTTCTCCTTCCAGCTTCTTTTATGAGTTTTGAACTCGGAAGGCAAAGGTGTGACCACTTCCCGTTCTTCCTGCAGAGAGTACTTCTCAGCCAAGGTATTGATGTACTGTCCCTGATGCAGTTTGCAGCCAGCCACGTTCAGTTATCCCGCACAATGTGCATTCCAGGTAGTATCTTGCCTCTCCAAGTGACTTGCACTTGAACTGCTCTGTGAGCTTCCGCTGCACCCCATCGATTCTCCTTGTCACTGCTGCTGAAGAGCAGGATGTCATCCACGTACACCAGCAGAAGCACAAGTGACTTCCCCCTCGCCCATCAGGAATAGGCTCTCGTCGCATGCACTCGCACGGAATCCAATCCCTTCCAGTGCACTGGCCAGCCTGTTGTACCAGCATCTCGGCGGCCTGCTTCAAGCCATAGATGGCCTTGTTAAGTTTGCAGACACGACCGGTTCCATCCTCATAGCCAGGTGGTTGAACCATGTACACCTCCTCTTCCACAATGCCGTACAGAAAAGCGGTTACGATGTCTATCTGCTTCACCTTCCATTTGCGCACAGCAGCTACCGCCAGCAGCACACGTAGCGTTGGAGACTTAGCAGTTGGGCAAACACTTCTTTGTAATCTTCCTTCTCTTTCTGCTGAAACCCCTTTGCCACCAGCCTGCTCTTGTAAACTGATGGCTCTCCTTTCTCATCCGTCTTGATTTTTGCCAGCCACTTGCACTGTATTGCCTTCTTCCCATTTGGCAAGTACACCAGGCTCCCATGTGTGATTCTCCATCTGGCTGTTGTACTCTGCATCTCTTGAAACGAGCCACTTCCCCCGTTGAGGCCCGGCTAGCGCATGATCCATGCTCGGAGGTTGTATTGGTGCGTAAAAGCAGTATGCAGGCTCCTCGTCATCTGACTCTTGGTCATCACCCAAGAACAGCACTGCATCTTTGCCTTGAGCCTGTTCCTGCTGCTCAGTTGTGGCTCCTCCACTTGTAGAGCTCAGCAGCTTTCTCCGTTGCCATTCTGCATCGCACAGCATCCAGCAAGGTAGGCCCGAAACTAATTCAGTCCGCCTACCACCCATAGACCGACGGGGGACTGAACGAGTCAACCAAACTATGGAGCAACTCATTCGGACTACCTGTAAGGACCCAGAGACAAGGGAGAAATCCCTACCGCTACTGGAATTCGCGTATAATAACAGGCCTTCCGCCACGACTTATCAATCCCCATTTTTCCTCAATTACGGATAGGACCCTGTGGTACCCCTCTACACCAGACATCGAGACCCCCATGCCCTGGTCCCAGCGGTTTGCAAAGACATCCTCGCAGCCCGAGAAAAAGAAGCTGAAGCAATCCGGAAAGCCAACTTGGTCGCAAGCCGACAAACCGATCGACATCGACGTAACGTCACTTACTAAGTGAGAGATCTCATACTACTCGACACTCGCAATTTGCGTCTGCCGATCCCGAGCAAACTCCGACCTTGATTATGTGGTCCCTTTCAAGTGACCAATATGGTGACACCTGTCACCGCTCACCTCCGACTCCAGGCGGATTGGCGTCACCACCCGGCTTTCCACGTCAGCCTCCTTTGACCCTACGTTTCAAGTTCGTCGGATTTGGCACGTCATCTCAAACTGAAAGAATAAACTAGAATGTGAGAGTACAAGGCAATATAGGCAAGTATGTTGTACCCTCTACGGCACAAACCTATATAATCTACAATAACATACTAAGTTATGTTTGACACACCCCCTAGACTATATAGGGCCAGTGCCTAACAAGTGAACAAGCAGCTCATGGCGGCACTACTAGTCCAGCCTCTGAGGCAAGGGTCTTAAGACCACTCAAAAGGAGTACAGACAAAACAGGAGCAAGACCAGGGCGGCACTATTAGTCCAGCCACTGGGAGAGGCCACAAGGCCAGTCAGGGTAAGATATAAATATAAAGGTCTGTACACAATCAAGGTTGTACGCAAAGGAGAGGAGCAAGACCAAGCTGTACACAGTGCGCTGATGATCTTTAGGCGCAAGCGCCTTCGTAAAGATATCAGCTGTGTTGGCACAAGAGGCCAAGTGTACTACGCGAGCCTGGCGGCACTGCTGTAGCTCGCGCAGGAGGAAAGTACCGCAGCTGGATGTGCTTCGCTCTGCCCTCAAGTCGAGGCTCCTGACATAGGAGGATCATGGCCCGGTTGTCAGCGTAGAGGACCGGGGCAGAGCTAGACTGCTCACCTAAGTCAGTGAGCAAGAAGGTCAGCCAGCGGAGCTCCTGTGCCGCCATGGCACCGGCGTAGATCTCAGCCTCGCAGCTGGAGTGGGCAACAGACGAGGAGCGGGTAGCTCTCCACAAAACAGCACCTGAACCAAAGCTAAAGCAGTAGCCCAAAGAGGACCTGAGAGTCTCTGCGTCGTCTGCCCAAGAAGCATCTGTGTGCCCAGTAAGGACCACTGGCCTGCGACCTCCCAGCACTAGTGCCATGCCCGATGTACGTGCAAGATAACGCAGAACCCATTAGCGGCCAACCAGTGCTGTGGTCGGTGTATGCCTGTGGCCACAAAGCGGGCCACGATGCTGAGAGGGTATGCAAGATCTGGGCGAGTGCAAGTCATCAGATACATGACGCAACCCACCAGCTCCGCGTACGGACCACTGGGCTCGACTGACTCCTCAGGAACAAGAGCTTAGAGCCTGTGTTCCACCGGCAGAGGTGTGGGCTGTGCAGAGGAGAACTGAAGACCGAACTGCTGAAGGACCTGGCGCACCAAGTGTGACTGTGAGAGTGTGATGGTGCGCGCTGCTCTGTCCCTGGAGATCTGCAGGCCAAGGTAGTGGCGCAGTTCTCCTAGGTCAGTGCATGTGTGTCTCTTCAACAGCTCTGCCTTCCACGACGGCCAGCGCGTCCCAGTCTGCAATAGCGAAAACCAGGTCATCTACATAAACAAGGATGTAGAACAGAGTCTGGCCAGCACGAACGAAGAGCGAGGGGTCTGCAGAGGATCGAAAGAACTGCAGGTCAGCAAGGGTAGCACGCAGCGTGTCGTGCCACTCACGGGGCACCTGTCGCAAGCCGTAGACTGGGCGCCGCAATAGCCACTGGGTCCGAGGAGGGAAGGTACCAGTGAAGCCCTGAAGGCGACACAGGTAGACCTGCTCGTGTAGGCTACTCTGAAGAAGCGCAGTAGAGAAGTCGAGGGAGTGTAACTTGTAGTCACGATGTGCTGCTACGTGTAGCAGCGCCCGAAGAGTAGTCATCTTCGGGGTCGGCGCGAAGGTCTGAAAGAAGTCCACCCCCTCACGCTGACTGAAGCCTCTAGCCACGTAGCACGCCTTGAACACAGGCGGCTCTCCAGGGGGGCGCTTCATCTTGAAGAGCCACCGGCCATCAACTACGTTCACCCCAGGTGGGGGAACTGCGTCGACGTAGGTGCCGGTGGATCTCCAAGATGCCATCTCCTGCTCCATGGCAGCTATCCACTGAGCGGCCCAGGGTCCCAAGGTGGCCTCAGCTTAGGTGAGGGGTCGGGATGTCGCAGGCGTCTGGGTCACCCTCAGGGACTAGCAGCGTGGAGCAGAGATGGGGAGCAGCCTCGGACAGGAAAGCAAGCTCGTACTGCGGGTCCTCCAAGACGTCATTGCCGAGGGCAGGAGCACCCCCGACGGACGGAGGACAGGCAGGGTTAGAGACCAGAGTGGTGGAGTTGTCAAGGCGGCAGGTATAGTCAAAGTCAGCAACAGCAGCCACAAGAGCGTCAAGACGCAAAACAGGAACAGACAGGTCGGTAACGAGGGAGGCAAGGACTCGAGGAACAAGAGGACGAGCGGTGCGAAGGAAGTCAGACAGAGGGGGAGGCGCGACAACAAGGGAGGACGGAGGAGGCGACGGCAGGAGGGGAGGACGAGACATGTGGGAACGAAGCAAAATAGGGTGAGAACGAGGAACAGGAGAGACAGGACGAGCCCGAGAGGGACGGCGAGACCAGACGTGGGACGGAGGCATCGGGTCAAGAGACAGAGGAGGAGTAACAGGAGGAGAACGACGGGGAAGGCGAGCCGGAGACGTGTCCGGAGGAGGGAACACAGGGCCGAAAACAGGAAGAAGAGGATACGGTAGAGAGGGGGAGATGCGCGGTCAGGGGAGGGAAGGCCGAGCAGGCGAAGGGCGGACACAGGCGGCGACTGCTGCGGCGGCGGCTGCACGACGCCGACACCTGGACTGCTAGCTGCTCCACGGCTTCCTCCGGGACACTCCACTCCAACACCCCCAGACGTAACACCCAAAGAAGTAGAAGCTCGCTCCATACCGGGACCACCCCCAGGCCTGCCGGGACAAGCCACGACAGGAGCCCCAGGACTAGCACCCTCCTCAACGCCAACACCCCCAGAAGGAACGAACTGCTGCCACGGCGGCGACAATGGTGGCGGCAGCGGCAGCGGCGGGGACAATGACGACTGCGGCGGCGGCTGCGGCTGCGATGGAGGGCCACCAGAGTCAGCAGACTCCTCAACCGGGACAACCGACGGGAGGGGGTAACGTGAGACTCACCAGACGGGGCAGGGCGGGGAGGAGGTTGGGCAGGGGCGACCGGGGGAGAAGGGACCAGGAACAGGGGCGGGGGTAACCGGGGGACCACGGTGAGGAAAGCGGCGGTAGAAGGAGA